ATCTTGAATCGTCGTAGTCTGCCGGTAGCCATGCGACCTCGCCATGAGGGTCAACCAATTTTGTGCCAGTCTTGTAAGGGCCAAGGCCGCCCATCTCCCAGGTATCGACTTCACACGCTCGTCCCATTCCAGTCAATAACGTCTGCCACATTGTTGGACAGGTTCCCTTCTTCAAAGGGTGTTCTTTAGGGATCACAGTAAGATCTTTATAACCAGTCATGCCCTTGTTTGGTTCGTTCATGCTCTCCCAACCAATGACAACGACATCTTCCAGATCGCCTGCCTCGTGAATTCGCTGGGCAAGTTGACCGCATGCTCTCATGAAATGGTCCTGCAGGTAATCCTGGATGTTCACACCGTCAATTATACACTTTGGAGCAAAGTCTTTGCCAGCAAAAAACATGGTGAATATGGTACCAGCTGCAAGTCGATAGTAGTTCGTTGACCAAATCATTTTTGGAAACTCATCAGGGCTGGGGTATGTGTTCTGAACAATAGCTGCTTCGGTCGCGGCGAAGCTCTGAGGGTTGAGACCGCATGCATATATAGTCCATAACGGGGCACCCGAACCACCAGTGAAACGGGACCAAACGTCCTGGTGGGGGTCCATAAATATATAGAAGGCATACTCTTTTGCTATTCTCAGAATATCAATCGTATGTTGAATGAAGTCCTCATCGTATTTCCCAGGCCCTGCGGCCTCGAGTGCCTCCCAGGTAAAGATGTAGCGGATAGTGTTGAAGCCGTATCGTCTGAGGCGCGCAAAATGAGATCGCGCATCTTCTTTAGGAAAAGGACGCTGGTGGAATGTTACATTATCGCCATCGAAGAAGTCGGTGGGAATGTGAGATGGTTGATCGGGTTCGCTAGGGAGTTTGGCATCGGCTGCGAGATTGATACCCCGGAGGACGACTTGTCGACCATATCCATCACGGAACTGGCCATCTTCGATCAACAGGCGAAAAGAAGACATGACTTGCCCTTCTCTAGACCGCTATGTCGTTGTTGAGAGAGAGCAAGAATGCGGAGCTGAAGGGGGAAACTAGGAAATAGGCCAAGTCTGGTTAGCTGGGTCAACCACTTGACGATGACGTTCAAGGCTATGGGCCTGGGGACAAACAGGGATAAGAAGACCCTGGTTAGTCAGCGGGATCTCGGTCGGATGCGAATTTGTTTCGTGTAGAGGCAAATGGAATAAAATGACAATTATTTCAGTATTCGGGAGTATAGAGAAACTGGAATGACATCTAAGTCTAATCGATATTCAGTGTCTTATTCTTCTTCTATCCGAGGTTATGAGGGTCCTAGACCATTACCTCCATGTCCCCCACTATCCGGAGTTTATGAACAACCCGAACATCAGCCGGTTTGATTCCGTATTCGCTCTACTATCAGCAAGCCACTTTAGACAGGAATTAGTCGTCGTGTTAAGATTGGTCTCCGTAGACGTCATGGGTGTCAATATTGATCGCATACTGAAACATGAGCATAGTGGCGGACAGGTGAGTAAAAACGGATGTCCACTGCAATTAAACTTAAAAACAGCACCCTCGACAGCTTGTGGAAAAGAAAAGAAACCGAGAATGCCCTGTCAGTTTAAGAAATTGCGGATATAAAACGTGAATAATGACCAAAGTTCCGAGCATATCAATCAATCAATCGTATTCGTCATCCATGGGTCCGATGGTGGCTTTATTTAGGCGCTAAAACGAATGCCGCACCCAGGCAAATTTAGTCAGCCAGATCTCTCGTTGTTCGTGTAAGCGAAGCAACTTGTCCGAGAGTCCGTCGAAGCCCCCCTTCGGAGGGGTCTAACACGAAGGCTAATATAGTTGTGCAACAAGAATAGAAGCTCAGAGCCTCGTAAATAGTTCAAACTGCGTGTGCGAGTGTGTGAGACTCCCTATACTGCCCCAAATGATCTCGTCAGCTTCATCCTCCTCTCTGACGTTTTGCACTCAAGAGTGAGAACTTGGTCAGATACTAATGACAACCCGATTCCTTTGACCGAATCAGGCATAGCTTTACGACCTCGCAAATCGGACATTTTACGCAATTACAAATGCGAAAACCCGTCGCCGTTAGTTAACTCCGCTGGAGCTGCCTACTTTACTTTACTCCCCTCGCCCAACCAATCCCCCATTTTCTTGTTATTCTGCGTGAATCAACAGCCTGTCTTGTCCTAGAAGCTTTCTCATACAGCTGAGAACCCTTGCTTCACATTATATTTTATTCTCGGGTCGAGAATATCAACTCTAAAATCATCTGTCACCGACCCACACACATTTGCCGGCACTGCTGCTATTCCGGTTGTGGCTGGACTAATAGATCATCAACTCCAAATACCCCTACGAACATCACATTCGGTGATCCGGTAAGAGTTGGGACTTATCGGATTCTGAATACCGGACTCGGATTTCATCGTTTTTGTGTTTTGGGCTCTCCCGGTCCAAGAGCTGAAGCCGTCCGGCGCTTCCGTCTGCAGATACGGAGACATTGCCCGGTGAGCTCGGGAAGGGCCTTGAAGCCCATGACGACGCCTAAAAGCAAAAGCACTTAGAGTTGGTGTTTCCTGCTCGTGGTTCGTTGCGTACTTCTATAGCCGCTGAGGCATTCTGGATGATCTGGCCATTCTCTATATAATATTTACAGACACTGCATCGCCATATAGATAGCATGCGCAAGTCAACGACGCCTCAGCCAACTGGTCCAGAGAGCATCTCCTCTGCGCGGGTCTCCAAGCTTGCCAGAAGGCCGCATCGTAAATCGAGAAACGGATGCTTCAACTGCAAGAGGAGAAAAGTAAAGGTGAGACCTCAGAAAAAGTCTCCGAATGTCCCAGATCAAAGCTGACAAGACCCAGTGTGACGAGGTGAAGCCAGCTTGTGCCAACTGCGTGCGCTTTGGCATACCCTGCGATTTCGCACCACAACCACCTTCCAGTGACGACTCAGCGCCGCACACTTCTCCCCCGGAGATACTATCAGTTTTAGCAGAACCTGCCACGACACCACGACGTGGTCCTGGAAGGCCACGCAAGGACTGGGCTGCACTCACGCGACCACCACCACCTCCCCCGCCAGCATCAGACAGGACGACAACATCACCATCTTCGACGTCAGCTACGCCAGTTTCCTCTTCAACGATATCAAACTCGCAGATATGTTCGTTGAATATTGCTGACGCCGAGTTACTCTTCCACTTCATGGCCAATACCTCGAGGACCTTACACGATGCTGATGACCCTGTCGATGATATCGCATCATTCTGGGCGCGAAATGTCCCCCAGATCGGCCTTTCCTACCATTTCGTCCTTCATATGATGTATGCTCTGGCAGGGTATCATCTGGTCTACCAAGAACCAAAAGGGACTGAACGGCATTCCCAAAGCCTCGCTCTTGCGGCGCATCATGCGGAGCTCGGTATTTATGAAATGAACAGGACATTAACGAATCTTAACGAAACAAATTGCGGCGCTCTCTATGTCGCAGCGGTGCTCGTCTGCTATTGCACCTTTGCAGCTGGCCCGACAGGTCCTGACGACCTTCTTATATGTGTTATTGGCGAGGGAATCTCGCAAAGATGGCTTCCCGTGATTCATGGAGTCCGGTTGATCCGACAGAGTATCGAACCAGCAACACTCTTTACGGGCCTCATGGCTCCTCTCGGCGGCGGTGGCACAAATTCAGAGATGGAAGATACAAGACCTGAATATTTGGTTATGGGGTTCTCCTACATTGATTGGGTTGGACCACTTGAGAAGCTTCGACTATGGATAGCGTCTCACGAGAACCCAGATACTGCTCTATATCTGAGAGTTCACAAAATGCTGTGCGATGTTTACGAGGCCAACTTTGGCAACTCCGAGGGACTTGTCCAAGTCCCAATGATGAACAAGCTTGTGTTTGGCTGGCTGTACCGCATGCAGGATCTGTTTGTTGGGTGTCTTCAGCGAAAGGCACCTCAGGCTCTGCTTTTGATGGCGTATTATGTCCCTTTGTTCAGGACAATGAAAAGGTCATGGTTTATGGAAGGGTGGGCAACACATCTGCTCGAAACAATACGAGGTTTGTTAAGTACGGACTTGATAGGTTGGTTGGAGTGGCCGGTAGAAATAACTCGGCAGCCTGAGTGATAACAAAGATAGAATGGAACTCGATGAACAAACTGGATCTTGACCGTTCTGTCGTCCCACCGGACGATTTCGTGAATCGGATTAACAACGCTATCTGAGAAATCATTGTCGTGATGTTGCTTGGGTAAGATATTGAGGCTCGTACTCAAAGTGCCATTGGAAATATGATAACTATGGATCAAAGAATATTGACTGTGATATTCGAATGTTGAAGAGACAAACCACCCGAATCAGGGAAGTTTTGGGTATATATACACATTCGATCACACGGCCGGCCCCCAATTTACTCCAAATCGGCCATGTCCGCCATGACATACGAGTCATTTATGCTAAGTGCCTCCTTTCCGAAATATCCGCCCCCAACCAACGATATTACTTCCTTTCCGAAAACCAGCTTCAAATGCGAAAACCCCATGAAAGTTCCACTTCCATTTTCGTATACAAGATAAGGTGTGTGCGGGCCCTGTGGCGACTCGGTTGTCGATCTTGGTGGTTGCATGTTGGTGGTATTCACATGCAAGCTATTCTTTTTGAGGGTGTTTGCCTATGTCTCAGTGCACCTCTTCAATGGCTGAACAAGAAGTTCTATGTGATAGTAAAGAGATCTCCGTTAGTCGATCTCATCCGAATGCTTCACACCAGTAATTCTTTCCTGCGCCCAGTGTACTGCTGATCTGCCAAAGTCATATATGCTGGAGCAAAATGACTCCAGTGGTATTACGAGCTCATCAGGCTTCCAGACCGAATTAACAAGCCTTCCCGGTCCATATATCTGATCCCGATACACGGTATATGGTACCGTATATCGAATGGTGCTGCGAATCACTGAACCCGGTATGGAAGGTGGTTTTTTCGCCAGGGCAGCCTAGACCGCATGAGAGTGCCTTCGCCAGGGTACCCTTTCTATTAAGGTTATCGTGGCATCACCGAATTTGAAATACCCAGGGATATTGGCTTTTTTCTCCTCTAGGGCCCTGTAACTTTTACAATGAGGGAGTTCCCTGCAAGGCTCTGCCCAGTGTCGGTGTTCATGGTTGTGCGTAATACCGCCGTTCTCGTGTTTCTCAACGTGGCACTTTGTCGAAACCAGGTGCCAGCTTCTGTTTATCCTGACTACCTCAATCTCGGCGTTCGATCGATAGTAAGATGGAGGTCCAGGAGCTCGACCCATCCACTCAGAACAATCATGGTTATGCAAGTGGCAAGCTGGTCTGGGGTGGATATCGTGCGTCCTGGAGTGGGTGGCGGCACCGTGAGATGAATTATTTCTTTCGTAGTGTCTGGCGCTTCTCGTGGTTACACCATCGTAAAAGTATGTCTCATGGGAAGATGTATGAAGGCTCCCGGTTCGATATTGGAGGGGAGTCTGTGGGTAATCATTTAGTTGAGATTGTGGACTGGATGATGGGATTGCGCTCGGGTTTTCTCCATTACGTGCAGTGTGTTGTAATCTTGTTGTTTCATTGTTGGTTTTGGAAGGTATTGGGGCAGGCTCCGGGATAGTATCTTCAGATTCGTCGTTTGCTTGAGCAGCTTGAGAAGCAACAGCAAGTTCAAGCGCTGACTTGGTAGGTTCCTCAGCCTGTTTCCTCAACGCGAGCTTCAAACGGCACCGGAAGCAGCGCCTGCCGAGTTTCTGGCATTTCGCACACTGTCTCTCTACTTGCGTGCAGGATGAATCAAGGGTTTCTTCGAAAGGCTCGGGTTCGGGTTCGGGTTCGGGCTCGCGATCATAAGAATTGAAGATATCTTCATACAACGAGTCCATGTTGATGATTCGGCTGGGCTGCGGTGGGAGATTGAAAGAAAAGGATATCTGCGCCCGTGTAGGGCAGGTCGTGATTCAGATGAAAGCTTGCCTTAATAAACCTTACTTTGGTACAACGCTTATTATAGGTCAAACTTCTAGATCCAGCAATCTACTTTTTGATTGCTTGCAGAAAGCTCAACTTGAATAATTTGACTGCATCACAAAAGTCCGATACAACAACTAGATATACTAGATATACTACCTACTAGGTAATGAATGGCATGAAGAGAGTGATACGTAAATGGCAAGATAATATCTTAATGGCTATAAATTCATTGACATCATACGATAACACAACTGAGAATTGAATTACAGTTGTCGCAATATCATAAGATTCTAACATGAAGATCTTGCAAATTGATATACTGCCTCTTTCGCGTCACTTACACTACAGTGGCTCAATTTTATATGCCTACCTAATCAATAGTGAGTACCTTCACCTTAAATACCTAATGGTCCAAAAATCTGTAAGCGAACCGAGATTTATCCACCTGGTTTTTTATCCAAGAATCTTGGAGGTTGTTGGTTGTATGTGAATTACGCTGGTTTCTCATTGGTTTACCATATAGCACTTGCTGCCTGGGCTTCTGCCTAACGTGCCATGTTACTATGATTACCCAAGCGCCGTGACATGTTTATAAGGCCGTGTTTCAGTAATGAAATAAGCATTGTGGATGGCACTGTTGGGATCGGTATTTATACCCAGATGACACTCTTTGATTATCCACAATACTTATCGCCTCTCCATCCACTACCCTCACACCCATATCTCACAACCTCTATTTCCCGCACAATATGGACTCTCAAGAAGAATCGGTTTCTATACCGGATTTTCCACCACGAGATCCTTCTCTCGAAACCCGCCCAGTTCCTCTCAAGCGCTCTTTTAACATCCGCTCATTCGGTCCTGGTGCTGATCCAGCTATCCAGAAAACAGCCCGATATGTCAGTGATGTAGACCTGGATATCCGGCCCTCAGATTACAGTGATGACCCTGAATTTGATAGTCAAGTGTTTGAAAGAGAGAGGCCCTTCAATCGGTGGATCCGTGATAACGAAGATTGGTTGGGCTACAAAAAGAGGTCTGACGATGTCCGCAAGCTTCTCTCCGCTGTAGAGGCACATCAAAATAAGACACGAGGGCCGTTCGGACAAGCAGTCACGGATCCAACATGGGGCTATTTCGTCTTTGTCACATCTTATTCCGGTCTGGCGCGCCAAAAACTCAACCAAGCTCTAGAAAACCTGGTCCAGGCCACACTCAGAAGCTTAAAGCCAATGTCACCTTCTCTGTATAGTGAAGAAGCAACTAAAAGATTCAAGCTTGAAGTCATAGAAGACAAAGAGGCTCTAGAGAATGCATCAGAAGACCGAGTGAGAGAGGAATTTCGTGCTCATCTCAGAAGTCTCGGGGTACTTGAAGACGATATCATGTTCAGAGGAATTGGTACAAGCAGGTTCTCAGCATGTATCCTCCTTGATGAACAAACAATCAGCAGGTTGGCCAATATTGCGTTCTGCCTTGACATTGAAAGGGATGAGCGTCGTCTTGCCAGAGTCTTTGTGAGGATGATCGATCCAAAATGGAACTATCCTGAGGAACCCTACCCAGAGGCAATCGATGATGACGGTGTGCCATATCGAGGCGGAGATGACTGCCCTGTCACTGCTCTCGCAGAGCTCTATCGCATAATGGACGGAAATCTGATGGGGGAGTATCCTTTCTTGTGGACTTTACCTTAGCTTAAGCTACCCTATATCAACTATCAGTTAAGGATAATTAATAAAAGCAAATCCTCAAACTCTCACTTTATATTTCTGCTAAAATCTGTGCATAGTTGTCAGATTAACGGCCCGTTCAGCCAATTGACATGTCGTTGAACTATTCCTGCGATTAGGAAATTATTGTAGTTTGTGGTTATTAACACTATCATCATGTGTTTGGACTTTATCACAAAAGAGTGCGTGAGACCATGCGTAAGAACGCCACGAAGTTGTAATCCATATCAAGCTCTGGCCACTGAAAAGGAATCGCTAAAGTGGCTAGGTAGCTAAAAGTTTGACACGATAGATGAGGCAACATATGCTCGCATATCTAAGGTATACAGAGATAGTGTAGGTTGATGAAGTGGGACCAAAGACATGAGCGGGACATCTTCGGCTATCAGTGAGCTTCGAAATGACATAATTCATCCACAGAGCAAACAGCCTGGCTAGTGAGGGTATGATCCATTCATTCGATGTACTTTTGAGCGTTGTCTTTGGACTTGTCGACCTCACTTGATATAATTATTCCGCTGGTTGAGATATCTAAAAGATCACCACATACTTCAGCCCTTGAAGCTATCAAGGCAGTAAAGGGAGCTTCCACAAGCTTGGTGGGGGGACCCTCCAACACAACAGAGATCTAGCCATCATGTCAGGGACAAAGGCAGCCCTCAAGGCCATCAACGACGCCATTCGCCAGCAAAAATTTGACGATGCGGTGAGCAAGGCAAAGGAGCTTCTGGAAAAGGATCCTAAGAACTACCAAGCGTGAGAATACCGAATATGTGCAACAGAGAGCTGCAGCACCCCGCCACGAGAGGCTCAAGCTGACAACCTTTCCAGTCACATTTTCCTAGCCTTTGCCTTAGATAAAAAGGACAGGTTGGACCTAGCTCAGGAGACTTATCGATCTGCGACGTGGCTTCGTCCCCAGGAGGCACAAGCATGGCAGGGCTTGATCAAGCTCTTTGAGAAGCAAAGCAACAAGAAGCTGGCAGATTACCAGCAGGCAGTCGTTAATCTGGCGCAGATTTATCGAGATGCTGATGACATGTACAAGTGTCAAGATGTTGTGATCAAATTTATCGACTTTGCAAGAGTTCAAGGTGATGAGACACAATATGCCGAAGCACTTTCGATCCAACTCCCCGAAAGTCCTCTATACCCCATCCTTGAGGGCCGGTTTCCTCACCCAGCAAAGACATATGAGACGATAGCGCACATCTTGGAAAAGGCTGAGAAACACCGGATAAACACTCTCATCGGGGAGCGACGAACCAAACTGGGCGCTAAACTCACCGAGGTCACCCTTGACGCCAAGCGGGAAGTTTACAGCCAGAGCAAACTGGAACACATTTATCGACAACTCATCAACTGGACAAATGACGATGATCTAAGACGGCAGTATGAAGAAAAGCTTCTCCAGCTTTGTTATGATCGTCTCCTGGTCGCCCCAACGGGCGCTGGAAAGGACGCTGAACGTCAGAAAGTGCTCGATCTCGCCAACGGCATGGTTGCCATAAAATACCCTTACAAGCTTGCTTGGGATATTTCTATAGAGTGGCAAGACAAGAAGGAGGTTCGAGAATGGGATGTGGATATCCTACGAGCTTACTGTTCATTCTTTCCCGACAGTGATCTTTACAAAGTCATCACAAGTTACCTGACAAGCCCAATCTCACCATTCCCACCAGAGAAGCCACAAGAAAAGGCAAAGGCAGCCCTCAATGAATCGGACGAAAGTTCCGATGACGATGATGGTGGAGTTCCTACCCTTGTGGTTCCTTTGACCGATGAGGATCGACTCATCATGATAACTGAAGGCATTACTACTGCTGATTCTGTTCTCGCGTATCGACTCACTGGTCAATACCTTCTTCACATTGGAGAGTATGAGAGTACCGTTGAGCTTATGCGCAAAGGATTGGCTCTATTAACCCAGGAACGTAAGAAGACAGGCCTTTCATTCGCAAATGCCGAAGACTCTTATTATCTTTCGCTCGGAACAGCACTAGTCTATTACCAATCTCCCAGACATCACAAGGAGGCGAAGGAGCTGTTCGACAAAGTTCTCGAGCGCGATAACACTTACACCTCTGCCTTGATCGGTGTTGGTCTGATCTACGAGGAAGAAGAGGAGTACGATGAAGCTATCGACTACCTTAGTCGGGCTTTGGAACGTGATCAAACAAACATCAGGGTAAAATCTGAGGCTGCCTGGGTCAAGGCACTCAAGGGAGATTGGCAAACTGCAAAGGACGAACTGCAGGAATGCCTCGAGCCTCTGGAAAAGCAAGGCGCTGCATCAAAGGAGTTGCTGGGTGAGACGCAGCATCGCCTGGGAGTATGCCTCTGGAACATCGACACCAGTAAGGCTGCACGAAAACAACGAAAGGGAGAGTCTGCGTACGCATACTGGCTCAGTGCTCTGAACAACAACCTGAATCACGCACCCACATACACGTACCTAGGAACATACTATGCCGACTATGCGAAGGATAAAGGCAGATCACGACGTTGCTTTCAGAAGGCACTAGAACTGTCTCATGCCGAAGTGGTTGCAGCCGAAAGACTCGCACGCTCTTTTGCGGACGACGGAGACTGGGATAGAGTCGAGCTCGTCGCCCGCCGAGTTGTTGACTCTGGCAAGGTAAAACCGCCACCAGGATCCAAGAGGAAGGGCATTAGCTGGCCATTTGCTGCACTCGGCGTGGCTGAGCTAAACAAGCAAGACTTCCACAAGGCCATTGTGTCTTTCCAAGCAGCGCTTCGTATCAGTCCTGAAGATTACCATTCCTGGGTCGGTCTTGGGGAGAGCTACCACAGTTCCGGTCGGCACATCGCTGCCACTAAGGCTATTCTGAATGCACAAAGGCTAGAGGGAGAAACTGAAGCGGATATTTCTGGAGATACCTGGTTTACCAAGTACATGCTTGCTAACATCAAGCGTGAACTGGGCGAGTACGACGAATCTATCGCTCTCTACAGGTCCGTCATTGAGACGCACCCTGAGGAGGAGGGGGTTATTATCGCCTTGCTTCAAACAACAGTCGACAACGCCCTTTCATCTGTCGAAAAAGGTTTATTTGGAAAAGCAGTCCAGCTTGCAACTGAGACCATTGAGTATGCAAAGGCAACCGACGGCAGTGCTCTTGAGACTTTCAACTTCTGGAAAGCTATAGCTGATGCATGCTCTGTCTTCTCTTCCGTCCAAAGTCGCACGCGAGATTTGCCCTGCGAATCCATTAGTGAGCTTCTCAAAAAGGGCTCACAGGACGCCTATGAGATTTTCGCCAGTGTTGACAAGGTTGGCACTGATGTGGTCTTTGCAAAGGGCTTGTATGCAGATGATGAGCAGCCAGGGGTTGATCTCACTCGATGCATCCACGCTACAATTTTGTGTCACAAGCAAGGTGTCCACATTTCGTCTAATGATCGCCACGCGCAAGCCGTTGCTTATTACAATTTGGGATGGGCAGAATATCGCGCGCATATTTGCCTACCGTCTGAGATCAGGAGGAAGTCTAGCAGCTACGTCAAAGCTGCGGTGAGATCATTCAAGCGTGCTATCGAGTTAGAAGCAGGAAACTCGGAGTTTTGGAATGCCCTCGGTGTAGTAACCAGTGAGATCAACCCTACGGTAGCCCAGCATGCTTTCGCCCGAAGTCTGTACCTGAACGAGAGAAGCCCTGCGGCTTGGACGAATTTGGGAACTCTCGCCCTTTTGTCAGGAGATGTCCAGCTAGCTAATGAGGTTTTCACGAGAGCCCAGTCAACTGACCCTGACTATGCACACGCTTGGCTGGGACAAGGATTTGTAGCTCTTCTCCATGGTGATGCCAAAGAAGCCCGAGGACTATTCACCCACGCAATGGAGATTGCAGATGCATCTTCAGTACCTACCAGGCGTCACTACTCAAGCTCCCTCTTCGATCATATTCTTTCAGTGTCTCCTAATGAAATTACCGTCGAATCGCTTATACAACCACTCTTCGCTCTCAACCAATATCAAAGCCTCAAATCCGATGACCTGGCATTTGGTCACTTGACGACACTATTTCAAGAGCGCACTAGAGAGAGCAGCCGTGCTGTTGATACGCTAGAAAAGATTTCCTCTACCGTTGAGGCTGATTACGAAAGCACCGAATCCCCTCAAAGTCTCGCCAAGTTTGCTCTGGCCAAAACGGATCTAGCACGAGCGTATCTCGCTTCGGGTTCTTACGAGAAGGCAGTTGAGTGTGGCGAGCTAGCATTAGGCTTGAGTAGCGACGAGGCAGAGAACGAGCTTTCAAGTGAACAACGCAAGAGAGCTCGCTTGTCTGCGCACCTCACTGTAGGACTGGCACAGTACTACAACAACCAGTTCGATGAAGCGATCACGTATTTTGAGTCTGCACTGGAGGAGTCTGATGGCAACCCCGATGCTGTATGCTTGTTGGCTCAAGTACTCTGGGCTCAGGGGGCAGAGTCGTCTCGAGAGAGAGCTCGTGAAGCATTGTTCGAGGTGATTGAAAAGCATCCCGAGCATGTCCGGTCAGTTCTTCTTCTTGGTGTGGTCGCTTTGTTAGACAATGACGAGGATTCTCTGGAAGCAGTTGTAGAAGAATTTCACGGTCTTCGCACCAATCACAAGGTAACAGCCTCAGAGCAGTCGCACATTGGTGAAGTACTGCGGGCCATTGCCACACTTGGAGAAGGACGTACGGAAGAGGATATTAAAACACAGATACAGACAGATATCATGCTCTACCCTGACCTACCTCATGGCTGGTCTGCTCTAGCCCATTCTACGGGCGATGAGTACGCGGCTCAGATGGCGCTCAAGGTCGCAGCAAGGGGCATTCCTCCAAAGGGTTTGTTGGAAGCCCAGGATCTAGCGAAGGCATATGCTGGAACATCTACCGCCGGAGATGCTCAGCGAGCAGCGTTCTTGGCGCCTTGGGAACAGAGTGGCTGGACATCGCTGGCCGCTGCTACAGAGGGCATGTCACGAATGTAGATATGTACGAGGATGGGTTGGGAGACAACCAAAATATAGCCTAGTGTTTAGTAGAAGTATGTGCATAGGATGACCGTACGTACGAAATTGTTGAAAAGGGGTATCACGTCTAAATCCACTAGTGTTCCTTACGATGCCTGCCTTTCATTCTGTCTTATTTCCTCCTTTAACCTCGCCAATCTTCCATCGACCCATGTTTTCTGCCAGGCCTCAATCTTTCCACCAAGCATAACACACTTATCCGGCTCCAATAAGATCATTCCTCTGGCAATCACCGTCCCAGCCTTGAGTAGGATCTTCTCTCCAATCTGAGTCTTCCCTACTCCTATACCGTCAAAACGTCTTAGTTCAAGGGCAAAGAGTTTTGTTCCTTTGCAATCCTGCAGGACAAGTCTATGCGTCGCATTCTTTCCCGCTGGTTTTGGGCCAGCCGTATTCCGAGAAGTTGAGGGTCGCTGGGTTTGACCATCAACGCCATCTTCATCATCGTCTTCTGCTGTAACACGAACAACTTCTCTTCCACGAGTAGTCTCACCCCTAGCCACAGCCTGCATCTCTTCAACCTGTTCCCAGCGACTCGAGGCAAGATTCTCGATATCGAGCACTTGAACATGCACAGGTCTTGGGACACGCTTCTCACGAGATTCTGTAGATTCCGCATCAGAAGGAAAACTCTGAAGAGAACTTGTACTTATGATTGTACTGCTAGTCAAATCCGCTGCTAGCAATCGAGCCTTGGCAGTGGCTAAAAGAGAAGGAAGTGGTGGTGGAGGCGAGCGCGTGGTTATAAGTGAATTGAGAAAGGCAGTTGAGGGATGAGGAAGGTTTTGTGCCAATATTGAAGCACGAAGTTGGCCGACGAGATCCATCTTGTGTTACTGGTATATCATCACAATATTGATCTTTTGGTGTTGAGAAATCTAAGATGGAGCTCGTCCTCAGCCTTGTGAAGGGAATGACGTTTCAGCGGCTGAGAGTGGAGCATCCCCTAAATTTAGCGTGCCGTGCCCCTGGATTGTAGGTGCAGCGTGTCCAGCTCAGGTCAGCCTTGTTAACCTCCAGCTCAGCTTTAACTCGAGCTACGCTTCCAGCCACGACCATCCCCATCTCTGTCTCCGAACTTCGACAAGTCGCAGAAATGTCTACAATAGCTTCACCCCGCGATCCTCCTCGCCGTACTCCTACAAACTCCAACCGTCCCTCATTCGAAACCTCCCGGTCCGCACTGGCCTCTCCCGTCCTCACACAAGGGCCTACACAGCCTCCTGGTCCTCCTCAGCAACAGCAACGCAAAACGTCTTCCAATCGCGCTGCTCTTCGCGAGTACTACAATCTGCGCGCCTCAGCCCCTCGTATAGAGGTTCCCGATTCTGAAGTCCCGGCTACCGAGATCGATGCCCCTGACTTTAACGCCGATGAATATGTCGCCAAAGTTGTTGAGAAGAGCAGTCTTGAGGAGCTTTTGAGGCTATATACACGAGTCGTGGGAGAAGTGCGCGCTCTGGATGCGGAGAAGAAGGCCCTAGTATACGACAATTACAGTAAGCTTATTACAGCAACAGAGACTATTCGCAAGGTACGTTCGTGGGTTACTATTTGGAGAGTTGCGAAACTGACAATTGTAAATAGATGAGAGCAAATATGGATCCTTTAAATCCTATGGCCTCAACACTCGACCCAGCCATTGCCCAAATCTACAGCCAAGCATCCTCCATCCGAGACGCCCTTCGGGAAACAGTTCCCTCACCAGATTCCGAGGAGGGCAAGAAACGAGACGCAGCAGCCAGGCAACAACGGACAAGACAACTCGCAGCGCAGGTTCTAGCGACACCTGAAAGATTACGTGTTCTTGTCAGTGAAGGAAAGATTGCACAAGCGCGCAAAGAGTGGGTGATGCCACGAAAACTGCTAGAATCATGGAAAGAGAAAGGACTTGGTGGTAGTGATGTCGAGGAGTGTATCGAAGAGGGTGACGAGACGTTGAGACAAATCGATGATAAGAGCAGCGCTTCAAGTCCGAGGATATCAAGGGACGAACGGCTATCAAGAGATGAAAGACGATCAAGAGATAGCCGGGTGTCAAAAGACGGACGGTCATGAACTGCAAGTTACGAAAAATACCCAATGATTCATTGTAACCTCTGATTACCCCCCAGGGCTAATGGAGGGTTTTATAAAATCCTGTTATTCAACATCATGAAAATAATTTATTTCAATTACAGCATTTCTGTTGCGCCAAGTCGCAGCTTGTCTGAGAGCTACTATCTGGAGCTAACAGACAGTGTAGAATGCGAATACACACAGTATGAGCTCACTTGGCCCTCCTACTTCATACAGTTTCTGCTTTTATTTAGCTTCAAGCTCGAACAGCTTCTAGCTCTATGTCAAGCTAAAAGAGAAATTGCCGGTGAGTGAGCATTGCATTGTCAATTAATGATAGAGACCCCTAATAGGCTGCATACAAGACCGATTCAACGTTTGAGCATCATATATCACGCGTTTGTAGCACAATTTGCTATGAGAGGCTCTGCTCTGAGATTGAACAGACTACTTACAACAATCTCAAGCTCAGCTCGATTTCTCTATTCACCTCTCGCAAGACCTTTTTCTCTTGTCACCCCAAGAAGATTCTGCTCTTCTTGTCATTCTCCAAACAACTCATCACTCAAAATGGCCGACAACGGTGCTTGGGGCGCCTGGCAGGTTGAATCATCAACCTTCACAAAGGCAGTAGTTGTATCTATGCAGAAGCTATATCCAGAGGAAATCGCAGATAGAAGCTGGGACAACGTTGGGCTCTTGGTCGGAAACTCAGAGAATGATGCCAAGAAGACAAAGAAGGTCTTGGTGACCAATGACCTGACCTACCAAGTCGCCGTTGATGCTATTGAGCAGGATGTTAGTGTCATTGTCAGCTATCGTAAGTTCTCAACATAAATATCTTAAGTCGGACTTGAGAATTTTACTAAAACAATGCTAGATCCCTTCATCTTTGGCGGTCTCAAGTCCATTACCAACAAAGACCCCCAGCAGGCTACTCTTCTACGCCTTGCCAAGGCTGGTATTGCTGTCTACTGCCCTCACACTGCAGTTGATGCCGCCCCCGAAGGACTCAACACATGGCTTGCAGATATCGTTTCTGGCCCTCACCAAAGCCAACGCTCTGTCGCCATTCCTTGTAGCGCTGCACCCTCCAGCCACTCTGGCGCAGGCTATGGTGCCATCGGCCGCTTCGACAATGCTGTTTCTCTGTCCGAGATCATTCTTCGTCTAGCTGAGAGACTCGGCGGTCTCAAGCATGTCATGGTAGCAAGCCCTGTTGGTGCTGATGTCAAGGCTACCAAGATTAACAGCTTTGGTGTTTGCGCTGGTAGCGGGTACGATGTGCTGAAGAAGGCTGAGGTAGATCTTTTGGTGACTGGCGAGACCAGCCATCACTCAGCTCTGAGAGCTATTCAACAGGGACAAACCCTTGTCCAGGTCTTTCACAGCAATTCAGAAAGAGGATATCTTCAAGAAGTGCTTAAGCCCAAGTTAGAGGCTGCTATCAAGGAGAGTGTTCCTGAGGCGGAGGTTGTTGTGAGCAAGTACGACAAGGATCCTTTTACCATCTTGGATGTCAATGATCTCAAATAATTCAAAGAGGGTTGAAGAGTCAAAATCTAAAGAAGGAGCAACAAAAATTCAAGATAGTTCTTTCGATTTTCATAAATGGTTCACTGTTGAACTTTAGTGGTGTATGAGTGATATACGTTTTTCCGTGGACGGCGGCTCAATGTTAGATGCCGCCTCACACTGTGCATTTTACCCCACGATTGATATCTAATCAATCAATCAATCAACCTCTGACCTCGTTCTACAACCTCCCACAAGCTCCATACCTTAATAATCTCCTTTCTCAAAACCAGGAACAATGTCGCAAATCACAGACGAGTCTCTACGCGAGGCCATCAAGCAGCGCCTCGAAGCTACTCACGTTGAAGTTACAGACATGTCTGGTCAGTTCTTTTCTACTCTCTACCCCGCGAACCCCTCCAAGCCGATCACGGCGTAAATTCCGACAAAGCTAACATGACGATATCGTAGGCGGCTGTGGCCAAGCCTTCAACTCTGTCATCGTCTCTCCTCAATTCCAGGGCCTCAACTCTCTCAAGCGCCATCGCCTCGTTAACGCCGCCCTCAAGGACGAAATCGCCATTATCCACGCCTGGACCGCCAAGTGCCAGACACCTGAGGAGTACGCAAAGACGAGCGCAGCCAACGACACCACGCAAGCGCAGCCATAAATCACCTTTTCTTTGTCTTCCACGATGTCAGGGTTATACTACATGGAGTTTTTGCATAAAAAGGGCACACGACAGGCATAGGAATGGTAGGGCGGGCATGTGACGGAGGGTCAAGATAACGATATCCGTACGAAAGCGGTCTTCACGCCGCTGTACATCACGAAGTAACAAGAAAACCAAGGAATCCATTTTATAATTAGAGCATGTTTATTTGGCAAGCGTACAACGCGGAAACAACAAGATTCGTTGGTTTGCGCCAACACCATAACTTCCATGAAGGCATCCATCTTCTTTTCCTACCAGCGCATCTCCATACTCCTGTGAACCAATGGCCATCTCTTGGCTTGACATCCATGTATACGTTTATGCATCTACAAAAGACCTAGCAAGTCTTCACTGTCCTTCTTGGGCTGCTGAGGAGCACCTCCTTGGGCCTGCTGTAGCTGCATTGCTGCTGGTAGAGGCTCGCCCGCTGACGAACCGCCAAAGTTCAATCCTTCGAATCCGTTCATCAAGTCATTCATGTTATTGCTGGGACCTGCAGCAGGTGCAGAAGCTCCAGAAGGTTGCGCCGGCGCATCAAACATGCTCAGCATATCAGCCATGGCACCTGAAGGCGCACCAGCAGATGGGCTGGCCACTCTATCAGGAGTTGCTGAAGCACTGTTCTGTTCTTGAGATGCAGGCGCGGCGCCATCAAAGTCAATATCCAACAGATTCTCAATATTGTTTTGAGGAGCACCACCAGATCCGTTGGATGAAGCGGCAGCAACTGAGGCAGCGATAGGGTTCTCGGCAGCGTTTTGTCGCTGCTCTTGGATAGCTGCTCGCTGGATCTCGTCGGCACCGAAACGACCCTTGCCCACGAACGACTCCGGAGGCTTGTGGTAGACAGAGGCGAGAGTAGAAAGTTCGGTGAGGAGCTGCTCCAGAAGGGCCGGAGGAAGGCTGGTCATGGTTGTTGTGATCGTGGGCTTTTGAGATAGGACAATGTTCTGAGCAACGTAGTTAGCAACTATTCAGATGATCCTTCACACGAATTTCTCACCTTAGCAACCTCAGGATCAGAGGAGAGAAGACGCCAGTAGACATATGCCCTGTCGCGGATATCGGGGTTATCGTTCTCCGCTGTCGCTGCTTGAAGAACCTTTTGGACAAGGCCTTGGTTACTTCCAGGCTTCTTCAAGAACAGCTTCACCACCGCTGTCAATATTTGCAGTTGTGTCTGCAAATGCTGTCAGCTCAAGCCTAACATCCAGTATTGTGTGACTTACCTGCGTGAACTCTTCCATAAAGGACTCAACGAAACTCTCCAAGATCTCGTCTGCATTGTTGATCTTCTCAGCATATTCTCCAACAATCCAGATGAGAGATCCACGAGCAGTAGGCTCGTCCAATTCATCAATATGCTTGCAAAGTGTAGGAATAACGCCCTCGTAGCCAGGGTACTTTCGCAGAATGTCCTTGATAACGACAATCACCTCTTGGACAACATAGTTCACCTTGGTAGAAATGAGATCCTCTAGGGCTGCAACGCACTTCTCGGCGGCATTCTCAATCTTGATGGCCACTTGGCCAATTGCTTTAACAGCTCTTCGGACGAAATCCATATCGACTTCCAGGGCATACTCCTTCAACTCAGCGAGGAGTTGTTCGTAGTTATGCTCGTTTGCTATCCTAACCATAATTTCCAACTTTTGAAGCTTAACATACGGAGGGTCAGTATATTTGCAGAAGAAGACGCGCATCTCCTTGCTCAGAATGTCTGGCTTAGCCTGGAGGAGGAGATCAATGTTTCGCAGAGCAACATATTGAACCTCGGGTTGCGAAGCAACCAAAGTAACTGGATCCAGTCAGTCAGGAACCCCAACGTTGTCGTTGTCTTCTACATACCCAAGGGAGGAGCCATTTTCTTGAGGTATGATCTCACAAGCTCAGGGTTGAGAGCCTTCATGTGGATGAAAACAACCTTGACAGCAGCAAGAACCACACTAGGGTTAACATGCTGGAACTGGGGTGCCACACGCTCACAGATGTGCTCTGACTCTTTCTGATCTGACGCAGAGTAGTTGGCCAGGGTTGTCAGAATAGTGACTCTTCCCCATTCGGTACACTCGTTAAGGGCCATAAGCAACTTCTTTAGCGTCACAGGCGTAACGATCAGTGCCCTCGTCTCGGGCGCCGTCTCGGTGATCTCAGACAAAGCCGTCACTGAGTTGGCGACAACCATGGGATTGGGATCACCAATCAGCTCCTGAAGGGCCTCCAGAAAGCCATTCTCGATGCACATCTGAGGATTGAGGTCGAAGAGTTTGGCGACACAAATGGCAGCTGTTTTGCGCACGTACGGTGATTCGTCTCGTAGTGTCTTCCTCAGGGGTTCTTCCATATAATCCACCATTTTATCCACTCTGATACATCCCATTGTTCGAATTGCCAGTGCTCGTATCAGCGGATTTGGATCTTCGGAGTCTTGAACAAATGTATTAACGGCGAGAATGCAAAGATCGGGATGCGATTTGGCGTAGTTCCTGGCCATCGTGTCAGCTCTTCATCTTACCCCACGAACAGTTGACAGCTATAGAGCTATGGAGGACAGTTCTGTAGCTATCCAGCCTCGTTCACATACATCAAATAGAGGTATACAAGCTTCTTCTGATCAAGATCACCGGTCGCAATGTTCTTGAGAACATCTGGGAAGAGTGCCGACACATCCTTGCCCAACGTCATGGCCATGATGGTCTTCTGAATCGACTCCTTGCGCTCGTACGCATACTGAGAAACTAAGCCAGCGCGCAGCTCAAAAGTTTCACCCTTTCGAGGCACGGCAAAGGCACCGCGAATGCGATTTACCGCCATCGTCGAGGTTCGTGGAGGGGCACGTGGCGGAAGTTCGAAGGTTAGAGAGGAACGAGGGATTGAGTTGTAGAAGACGGCGGTGACAGTCTAGTCGAAGTGGTCAAGCCGAGTACAAGCTACTTGTCCTCAAGTGTCGAATTCTGCGTCCACCAAATATCGCGTATCGGAGGAGGCGTCTAAGATACGCGACGTCGTCGAGATAATCGGGAGAAGGAGTTGATCGATCTGAGTATGAACAAGGCAGACGTAACTGTCACCAAATATGCCAAGGCCACGAAGATAGGTCTAGGCCACTGAGTCGCAGCCCAAACCACCAAAGGGGGGTTGTTTTACAGTGACCCTGTAAGCTCCAGTTAGTGGATCTAGGCTAGGCTACCCCCTAACTCTAAACTTCCGCCTGATTGCCGTTCGCGTGTAGCGTGGCATCAATGGTTAACAATTTATTTTTGGCCACCTCCCTACTACTATGGTATTTTGGGCAAACGGGGCTTAGTCACGCTTTCATCAGCTCTTGTTGCACTGAATCTTAACATCATCACGAGTCTTGAGGAGGTATCAATCACATACATACACGAAGAAAAGAGACTATTCTCAATGAAACTATATTGTTGTCAGGGACCCCTGAAATAAGAGTCCTCGCCAAATCGGCCAAGCTATATAATGGTGAAGAATGCTGTCTTTGTTCCAGTATGATAACGGGATCTGAGAATTAAATAGGCACTGCCAAACCTCCGTCGACTCTTTATCGAGTCACGAACAGATGACGAAGAACGGGATGTCTCCAGAAAAGCGGTGGGTCGTCTTCCAGTGTGTCTCAGCGACACATACTGATCGAAAGCAGTTCTATAACGCCGTCCTTTTCATGGGATCAATTGCTGTTTTCAGTCTTATCGCACAAAGGCTAAACGCTGGTAAATGATGAAGAGATCATCATCATTATTCATTTAAAGGTGTCATACGTATAACTAGAGCATGGCGTTTTCGTCATTAATATCAATCAAGATGAATAGCTGAGACTCAATCAATCATCGGCTTCTTCCGCCTCTTCTGCTTCTGCCCCTGTATCACCCTTGGTCTCTATATTGGTGTCCGCTTTGGCTTCTTGTTTTCGCCAAAGACCGGCCAAGAAGTCGTTCGTGCTCGCCTCCTCAAGACTCTTGTCCTCTCGTTTCTTCATAAATCTTGGAAATCTCAAACTTAGTCCTCTCTCATCACTCACGAGACCAATCGCTGCTGGATAAGTCGGACTCAATGTGATATCTGCAAATGCCATTTCCCACACTTCTTGTGGCTCAAACCAGATATCTGGTCTTGGACCTGAATATTCGACGAAGGAGGGCTGTTTAGTTCTGGTGTTCTTGGGCTCGCCGCTCTCTTCGCCATCGTCGTAAAATTGCCGATTGGCCTTGTAGAATGCATCTGTGAACCCAGACATGCATTTGCATACTGCCTCAAGGGATCCAGTCTCTTCGTTACGGCACGCCATGAGAATTGGTGACCACCATTTCGCCTTGCGTCCTTGCCCATGCCAACCGGCGACAGGAATAAGGTCGAGAGTATCAAAACTCGAGTTATAGTCTTTTTTGACTTTGAGCCAGGAATCAAGACGTTTGTCTGGCTCGTAGGTGGCGAGTAATGGTTTGCGTCTTGTTTTCGTTTTGGTCTCCCCGTTTTCGTCTTTCTTTCCTTTCGTTTTTCCTTTCCCTTTGGATTTGGACTTTGGTGTTAGCAATTTGTCGGTCCTATCTGGCCCATCGTCATCTGCCTCTACTGTGTATGGCACTGTGGGCAAATTATCCAAGATCTTTACCATTATACCCTCGCATTTGATATCCGTGGCTGCCTTGAAAAACTCCAGAACAGATTCTGAGTCCGCAGATGTAGCATCAAGACTCTGTACCCAGGTAAAGCGATGCGGCATTTCTGTGAAGAGTGATCGCAGAAGCTCTCGTCTTTCTCGAAAGGGTCGATCTAGCAATGGTTGTCCGTTCAAATACATCAAGTCGAACGCAAACATACAAACGTCCACAGTGATACTTCCGATATCGACATCTTTTCTCGCTCGATTTGTGAGCGTCTGAAAGTTTTTGAGCTCACCAGTTCCACGATCAACTGCGACAACTTCACCTTCCATGATGAAGCTATCAACGCCCTCTCCACGTATCTTTGGTATCAGCTCCACCAAATCAGGATATTTGTCTGTCATGACTTCCAAATGACGAGAGAAGATGCTGACTTTTCCACTCTCATCGCAGTGTATTTGCGCTCTCTGTCCGTCATATTTGAACTCGCAAGCAAAGTCTCTGCCCTGTAGCTTTGTGAGCATCTCGGACAAGTCTCTGGTGATGCTTCCAAGCATAGGTCGTAGCGGTATATGCATGGTAAGACCACATCGTATTAACAGTTCCTCAGAAATGCCAATTTCCAAGAGAACAGGCACAAGGTCATTGTAGTTCGGGCGCCTCGCAAAGCAGGCCTTGACTATCTCCTCAGCCCGACCCCAAATTTCAGCCAAATCTTCTTTTTTGAGCTTTGCAAGATCAGATACTGATTTAAGAGGGAAGTCGGCCTCCGGTGGGCGTGATAGCAAGAAGGCCCGTGATAAGGCAATCAGCATCGTTGTCTTCACAGCACCAATACGCAACTATTGCCTGTTAGAAGATAACAAAGGGTATTGACATGGTTTCCTTACATGTTGAGAAAGTGTTCGTACGACAAATCGACTCTCTTCACCACCACGAGCGTCTTGCAGTAATCGGTCAACCAATCTTTGCTTCGTTTCGGAACTGCCCTGCCCTTGACTGTTGGCAATCTTTACCAAGGTTTCGTAGACGCCCTTGATCGTGAGGGGTTTTGGTTTTCTGAGAGTGAAGCTTTGCTTTTTCTTGGCTTCAAAAGCCACATCTCCCGCATCTCCATATTTGTCGTAAATGGCTTTCAAAGCTCGGTTGTCGAGTCCACAAACGTTCCGCAATGCTTTCGATATCGCTGAGCCGCCCAGTCCTAGTTCCATGGAGATATAAGGAGGTGAGATTGCATTCGTTGCCAGCCATACCTGCGGAAGTCAGAGAAGCTCAAGGGACGTGGATTTAGACATACAGCTGGTAGTAAGCTTGTTGGATCTCCCTCAATAAGGACTCTTAAGCAGTTTACAAGGGTATCTACAATCTTAATTCGGCTTGTGGTGCCGTTAATGAGAACAAAGCAGCGTGTGAGAAGGGCATATGAGGCATTGCCGCCTTCAGATTGCCAGTGTCCCTTCAGTTGGTCCAGATATTCGGATGGATCGAATGTGAGAGGAGACTCATCGAGAGGTATTGATGTGGTTGTCGTATCTTCAGCCATGCCTGCTGCCTGAAGACTGAGTGTAGGTTTTGTATGGTTGAGTGCGCCAGGCTTGTTGAGAGCTGTTGGGAGGGTGACCGGGGGCTTCGGCTTTGGGCCTGCAGGACTTGGACTTTCATCTCGAGATACTGATTCATTGTATTTGTTCGGAAGTTCAAGTGTCTGTGCTTGAAGTGTGTTCTGTGGTGTGTTGGCAACTTCCTGGTCCCATTCTGCCTGGAGCTTCCTAGCCAATTCCTCGTCTGTTAATTCTGTAGTAGCATCGCTTGATGTACCTTCAGCGTTTTCTTCCGTCTTTAGCTTTTTACTTGAGTCTGTGTCATTCTGCTTTTGTTTTGAAAAGAAATACTCAAGACCACGGGCTGGTGTTGATGATCTGGTGCCGTTGTTCAGCTTCCGTTTCTTGGTTGGACTGGGCATACTTGAATTGACGTCCAGGTTGATTAAGACTACCACCCCTAAAATCAGAAGGATCTCAATTAAGAGACAAAATAAGACCACCAAAAAGCTTGTGTTAATAGAAAAGTACGCCCTCCTCACGTCCCTGTTAATCAACAACCATAAACGCGGTAGCTCTATGACGATATTGGCGCGAAGGCACGTGACTGAATTAAGAGCTTCGAAAATCAGGAACCAGCCCGCTCACTCAACGCTAAACCATTTTGGCACGCACAAGCGATTCACTCACACAACCGTCGAAATCTTTGCTCTGCCCCACCATCGCGAACCTCCCTCTCCCCCAGAACATCACCCCTCATAACGGCCCCTCCTCTCCCTATAAATCAGCCATAATGAACGGAGAAGATCCGCCTGAGAGGCCCAACGAGATCTCGTCCATCATCAACGGACTCGAACGATACAACCCCGAGGCTGTCGGCGCTCTTGAGACCTATCTCCAAGACCAATGCGAGCAGAAATTCACTGACTGCAATGCCAACCGAACACTGCTGAAACTGTGAGTGTTTCTACTCGCTATATACAATACAACCCGGGCTCTTACATGATGACCGTTTGTCAACGTTTCCTATTACCTGACTAGTGTGGCGGGTTGTTCTCAACTTGGCCGCACCTGAAGTCAACTCTTAGTGCAACTGAAATGCCCATTACTCCAACATTTGGCATCATCACTACTTGACTCGAGGCTAACTTCCTCAAGATACCAGCTCAACCCCGACCGTATCAAGGATGAGGTGATCACCAACGTCTTGGTCAAGACAATGACCCAGTTCCCCTCCGCACAGTTCTCTCTCGCTCTCCACCTTATCAACCCCTCCGCTGCTGTCACTGGCGACCTCGGCGAAGCTATCACCAAGCTCCGATCCCTCAACGGTCAACTCGAGGGTGCTCAGTACTCCCGTTTCTGGGCCGATCTCGACGATGATATGGTTGCCGATTTGATTGCCGACATTCCTGATTTTGAGGAAGTCGTTCGACACCGCATCGCCCTTCTCGTCTCACAGGCCTTCCGTGAGCTTCAGATCACCCATCTCGAGTCATGGCTCGGTCTCAATGAGGACGCCACCAAGAAGTTCGTTACCGAGGTCTGCGGTTGGACTGTCGAGAGCGACGGCAACGTCAAGGTTCCCTCAAACCCCGACAATGAGGCCAAGAAGGCTGAGATCCGTGAGGACGTCAACGTCGAGCAGTTCTCCAGGGTAATCCGACGGTCGTGGGAGGACACTGTTTGAGCTTTTTGATGAGAGTTTTAGCGGATCACAGGGGATTTTTCGCGCACCGCCCCCTGCCATCTGATTGGATTCGGACATCACGACTGATGATGCGGAGGGGTTAGGAAGGGCTCGCATGGTAGCATGGCGGGGGTTACAAAAACTAGGCGTTTAATCGGACATGTCATTGCAGAGCAATCCAAGGATCTAGAAATGCATAGAACTTTGCGATTTGCTACATCGTATCTGGCTCATGTAGACCGACAATGTGGCTTGATTACAGTGCTTTTGATTTCGATATGTTTATTCTCCCAAATTGTCCTAGTATTTATTTCCCCTTGGACAGTTCCTCCCATTGCACGCCAGCCCATTCTTCAAGGTATCCAGCTTCTCCAACTGGTGTTCCTCGAGGTGAGCAATCTTTCTCACATACACCAACAATTACAGTACCCCACTCCATGCCCTCCAAACTCATGTCGTCTGCCTCAAGCTCTGCAATAGCATTTGGTGTCAACTGCACCTCAAAAACTCTTCTCGCCGTACAGTTGGGGCATCGAGGAATAGCACCCTTATTCACAGCCTCGCCAACAGCACCCTTCTTTGAATATAAGAGAGGAGTGCCTGCAAACTCATAACGAATAACTTGCTCGGGGTTTTGCGCCAGACGATCTGCGAACTTCTGAAACGTAGCGTCCATGCTCGACTCGAAAGCTTCACGGTCCAGTATAGAAGGTTCCGCGGCATCAGCATCTTCAAGACGGGCGTTGGTGGGAACATTTGTGGGTGTAGGGTCCAGAGTTTCGAAATCGGCGTCGGCTAGATAAAGAGTAGGGTATGGCTGGGCCTGAGCATCTTCAGCAGGCCATGGCTCTGAAGGTGGAGGTGGCTTCGCTGGTGTATCCTTAATATTGAGAGATTCTGCAAATGTTTTGGTGAGAGCAGTTGTTGCTGGTTCAGGAGAGGCAGGTTTGGCCGGTTCAGGCTGTGGAGTCGAAGAGGAAAATGGGTTGGCAGAGCTAAATGGGTTTCCAGAACCGTTGGAAGTGCTGAATGGGTTCGCGTTGCTAGAGAAGGGGTTTGCGCCAGAAGTACTTCCCAGTCCCTTAGAACCAAACAGGGTCTCTCCTAATCCAGGTCCATCATTCTTTGGCTTTTCCTCTTCAACTTGCTTCTCTTCCTTGGGCTCTTTGGATGCCTCCTCCTTCCAGACCCGGAGACCTCTAAGTGCGCGAATGCTGCCCTCTTTGCGCCGGCAAGTCTGTCTTCTACACGCAAAGACATAAATTCGTCGCTCATGCTCAGGGAATCTTTCGGGGAGTTCGCCGTTGAGCTGCAGGATCAATGCCATAAGATCCTTGCAGACTTTGCATCGTGCGTAGGCTGCGCTGGGAGCATTCTCGTCTAGCCAGTCCTGATTTCGTTGTTAGTCGATATGCTTTTGTCTGGTGCGGGACAGGCCAAAGACGTACAGGACGGCCACCGAGTTTGCTGACAGTGTCTTCGTCTGCTTCTTTAGAGGCATATCCCAAGAGCACATTTGTCTCCTCGAACTCGCCGTCCGAGGAATCGGAATCGTAAGAGGCCATGATGTTGATATTGCTGGGCTTGATTTAGGTGATGGTGGTGGGGTAAATATTTTTTTCTTGCGAAAAGTTGTCAGAATGCGGGGCTTAGCGCAGCAATGGAAATGCTCGACGACAAACCATCAATATATGATGCATTCATATACGTATTACAAATACTAGAAACATGCTTGAGTCATAAATAAGTCGTAATTGTGTATATTACGCCCCAGAGCCTTTTGTCTAGCCTCAATTTTAACGTGGTATCTCCTACATGTGATCACTAGGTCCATCCATGCCGGGCCCAGGTCCGCCTGCTCTACCCATCTGTCGAGCCTTCAACAACTCGTCACATAGAAGGAGGTTAGATGCGATACTGGAGCTGGAGGCAATGCAATTTCGCAGAACTCGGTAAGAGTCAAAGACACCCTCCAGCTCAGGGTCCATAGGTTCACCAGTTTCGAGGTTAAGGCCAACGACGTTGCCGTCAGCATACTCATCCTGCAGATCCGCAACTATAGCAAGTTAGATATTGGCCGTGAATATTTGGGAAGCAGTAAACTTACGAGCATCTTGGATGTCAAGACCGGCGTTGGCAGCCAGAGTCTTGGGAATAATAAGAAGAGCATCTGCGAATGCCTCAACACCCCACTTAGCCTTGCCCTTGACAGACTTGCCAAAGGCATCACTCTTGAGGTGAGAAGCACAGGCAACCTGGAAGGCACCAGCACCAGGAACAACAGACTTGTCGACAATCATGTTGTAAACACTTCGCAGACCATCTCGGACAGCATCTGTCACCTGAGCAATGGTGTGCGCGTTGGGGCCCTTGATCATCAGAGTAACGGACTTGGGGTCTTTGACCTCCTCAACAAAGGTGAACTTCTCCTCGCCGAGGGTCTGCTCATAGACAAGGCCAGCCCAGCCCAGAACATCCTCAGACAGGTCGTCAACACTGTTTTGAGCAACACCACCGCAGACAAGCTGGAGACGCTCCATGTTTCTTCGCTTTGCCCGTCGGAGAGCAAGAATATTGTTCTTGGCGAGGACGTCAAGAGAAAGGGGATCAATACCCTTCTGGTTGATAACAACAAAGTTCTTTGTGCCGTCGTTACCGCAAAGCTCCTTCTTGAGCTCGACAATTTTCTTGAGCTTGGCATCGACGAATCGACGCTCACTCTCGACAAGCTTATCGCGCTGCTCTGCGCTAGAGTAGAAGAAGCTGGAGTTAATCTCAGTCTTCTCATACTCCAGGCTGACGTTGAGGGTGAGAATGTAGCAGTTCTCGAGTCGCTTAGGCATATCGGGGTGACGGGCACCGTGATCAAGGGCCAGTCCACGAATCAGCCGAGTGTCGGCGGCTGTCCGGTGCTGCATCTTCATAATCTCCACCATATGCAAATCGGGCTTTGCGGGAGCCTGGTAAATAGCAAGAACGGCATCGACAATATCGGGTGTAAGCTTGGCGGCCAAAGTCGAGTTGAGCTTGGTGGCGAGCGATGTTCGGGCGACATTGAGGAGGAGTTCTCGGTCAACTTCCTTGGCGAGTTTGAAAGAGTCGAGGAACTACGACGTTGAGCCAAAGTTTCAGGGGATGAGGTAACAAACTCACCTTAAGAGCCTCAATCTTAGCAACCTCGAAACCATCAGTGATGATACGAGGGTGCAGTCCTTCAGAGATGTATCGGTCCGCCTGCTTGAGAAGCTCGCCAACCAACATAACCACAGAAGTGGTTCCGTCACCGCAAATATCGTCCTGAGCGGTCGCTGCTCGAGCAATCATAACGGCGGTGGGATTTTGTATTTGCATCTCTCGGAGGAGGACGTTTCCATCCTTGGTCAGCTTGATCTGAGGGTATCGGTCAGTTTAGGGGTCGTCGTGGGGTATTTTGATAGGAGTTAGTACCTGTCCCGCACCATCAACAAGCCTGAGATTGTTAGCTTCATATCACCATATAAGAATTCTGGTAACACGTACATCTTAATGGTGCCCAGAGGGCCCAGGTTGGACTTCAAAACATCCTGAAGGCCTTCACCAGCGCTAATGTTGACCTTCAGAGCTTCGCCCCTCCTCTGCGACAACGGGGTTAGCAGACCGCAAGGCAAGGCCACTCTGGCTGCGGGGGGATATATTTATTGGTATCGACGTACTCGGGACTCGGCCTTGGGGTTGAGGAGTTGTGCTGCCGACATGATTGTAGATCTCAGTGGGCACGAAGGCTATGTCGAGATCAAAATAGGTCGAGGCTTGAAAAAAGCGGTGCTGGTGTAGGAGGTTTCGCGATTTCGTAATCGCACAAGCTTGCACCAGCTGGTCACAGGCAATAGCGGACGTGCTAGGCTGGGACATTTTTTCTGCCCCTCCAAGGGGTGGAAAGCGGTGTGAGGTGAGAACCGAGGGGCTCGGTGAGTAGCCAATCAGGGGAGATTTCACTCAGTCGACACAAGAAGCTATTCGGGTATCATAACGAGAGTCGTTTTTGCAGAGGCCATTAAGGTCCAAATACTGAATATTACAGTCTATCATTTCATTCTTCTCTTAGATACACCTTAGACCTTTACCATTCAGCAATGCCTCTTTTTAACCAATGTGATTTCGAGCTTAAATTACGCTAAGGGTTACTTCTAAGATGTGAGGGGAGGCCAGAAAGCCTACCTTTCATTAATCTTTTTTGACACGCAGATTTCAGGTCTAAAGTTTGTCTTTATTTTGGTTGTTCATTCTTCTCTCCCAGCCCCAATTCTTTTCTTTGCTTCACTTCCACGCCGATTTATACATTCACTTGCAACTCACCTCGTCTAGTCACACTCCGCTCTATGCTTTTTCCAATCTCGCTTCTGACACTCCCCGGAGCAATACCTCACCTTTTGGCAACGTAAACACTTCTTCAAAGCAACTCCCTCCTGGTTCTCTGGTTTCCCGCAGCTTCGACATCTTTCTACCCGAGCCACCGGGTTCCGCATCTTGGGAACATCGGCAGGGTCAATGACCTCTTCGTTGAACGGAATTGCATAAGTCGGGCTGATTGCAATACGGACAGCATTCGGCGCTGCGTTTTCCCACTCAGGGAGAGACACGAAGTTTTCTGGCAGAAACCCGTTTCCACACGAGCACAGAACCTGTTCGCCATCTTTGAGACTCAGTGGGATAGTCGCCCCCTTTCTCTTATACTCGCAACTCTTGCCGTGAGACCAGGTACGGCAACGCTCGACCATAGATGGAAGAGCCTTCTTCCAAAGACATAGCTCTGCGTCATCTACATCGATACTGCCACATTCAAGTTCCCGGAGAATAAGAAGGAAAGACTCCATCCGGCCCGATGTAACAAGTTCCATCGTGAACGGGATAATAGCTGCATCGATAACAACAGATGCAGCATCGCCATCAATCCGGATAGCAGACACGAAAACAAGCATGTGAATACCACCTCGCTTCGGGTGGTTGATTGCAAACAAACC